TGCATGTGGTATCCCAATGAGCAAAACATGAGCTCACTGGTGGTTTTGGGTGGAGGGTTTCAGGCAGGTTCCCTGACACGGATGGGATCTGGTCCAAGGGAGCAGCAAGTCCAGTGGGGTTGGCAGGAGCTTGTGTGATGTTTATGCACCACCCCAGCCCTTTGCAGCTGCGACCACGTCAAGCCCTTGTGGCCTCCGCAGCAGCAAAGAGGAGGAGGGCTGTGACAGCAGAGCCCAGCAGCTTCCAGCATAAACCCCAGCCGCCAGCCCAAGCACGCTCCAGGATCTCCTTCCAGAGCTGACCCCAGCGCTTCCTCAGATTGGTCAGCAGAGCCCAGTATTATTGCAATTAAATACAGCCCTGGGCAGCTCTGCAAAGCTGTAAACCCGTGCTCGCTTTCTCAAAGCATCCAATTTTGCCTGCACCTGGTATAACTGCTTATTACTGCTGGGCAGCAGCTCTGCTCTCCTCATGCTGTGTGGATGGTAGCCCTGGGCATGTGAGTGGGTGAACTCCCCACCTTGACCAGGCATGAGGTTTGTGGAGGGTGAGCACAAGGTCCTGCCTTTCCTGTGTGGAACAAGGTTATTTGGTAGGGGAGGGCTTCCTGCTTCCCCCTCTGCCTTCATTATCCCTCTCCACTCTGCAAATCCCCCTCTGGAGAAGCAGGTGTTGCTGCCTCTAATTAAGGAGAAGGATTCGTTACAGCTGGTCCACCACACCCGTGCTATTAGTGGGATTTTCCTGGAGGAAACTTCCCAAGTGTTGATTCCTGCTGTAATGGGAAAGCAGCAGCTCATTGGCTTAGTTACAGCTGGTGGTTCTGGTGGGCATCCTGGCTGTCCCAGGCACCACATCCTCTGCAAAGGGGTTGCATCCCGAGGATGCTGCTTCATTCGTGCTGCATCCCTTGGTGCTCCTCACATTTATTTGGGGTGGTTCAACAGGCAGTGCTAGTGCTTACAAAATACTAGCAGCAAGTAGGTCAGCACTGAAATGGCCAAATTACTTTAAAAAATGAGTACATTATTTTGTGCAGAAAAACTCTGGGAAAGTGATTTGATGAGGGGTGTTATACTGGTACTGACAGGAGGCAGTGGGAGAAGTGCAGGCAGTGAAGAACTCAATTTGGCACAGAAGTGCCTGTGAAAAGGCTGTCCCTGACTGCTGCTTTCAGATAGCACTGGGAGTGTGAGCAGGCAGGTAGCTTAATTAGCTGGCTGTTGGGAATCCAGTTCATTCTGTTTCTTTATAATGCCTTTTATGATGGGATGTTTGGGCACACCTGCAAAATTCAGATGCAGATAGGTAGCCTGTCCTCCTCCTCCTCACATGTAAATTGGGTGTCTGAAGTTGGCCTCTTTCCTAGTTGTGCTTTCTTGGAATCATCTAGCCAGTTCTCTGAGCTAAAAATGCAGGAAGAGGGCACCAAACTAGAGCTATTTGGAGTTGAGGTCACTTCTGTTTACTTGGCCAGGCTGGAGATCAGCCAAAAGCAAAAAACAGAATGGAAGAAACGCTGATTGCAACCAAACTCACTTCCTGAGAAAGCTTTCCCCATCGATCTAAATAGAATAAATTTCTTCCTGTCCTAAATTCTTGCACGTCCTTACTAGCAGCAGGAGAAGGCAGGTTGCATAGGGTAAGCTCAGAGATGCTGAAAGCTGTTGAAAAGCCAAAGCCATGAGGCTGGAGCATCCCACAGAGTTTGCTTCTTGCCTGCAACGCTTATCTTTGCAGATACGCAATGTGAATGGATGCTGGTGTCTCTTAGAGATCAGCCTGCATCCCAGTGGAGTGTGGCAGCTGCCAGCCCCATTGCTCCAGCAAGTCTTTGCTGTATTTTTGGACAGACCTGGGCAGTTTTGTGGTGCACAACTGTGAGAATGCCCAGATGTAGGAATGCAACACCCGGAGGACGCACAGCCTGGTGAGGTGAGGGCCAGCTGAGACCTGGGCAGCTGAATGGCTCCAGTACTTCCCTCTGGGCAGGAGGGTACCCTGGAGAGGAAAGGGAAAAGGGAAGGCACCAAGGTGCCTGGGTGCAGGTTCTGGGTGGGAGCGCCTCCTTTGCCCTCTCTGGCAACTGAGGTATCACCAGCTCCTTGCAGCCTTTCATTCAGTGAAATTCATTGAATTCATGGAATGTCCTTGTCTGAGCCTCCAACCTTCTACCAGCCTTCCCTGGTAAGAGTCAATAGAAGCATTTTAGGGGGAAAACATGCAGATGCATACCGAGTCTGCTTGTGCAAGCTGTGTTTAATCAGGAGAGCTGGATGAGCCTGAGCTCCTTCCTGCCAAGCTGTCAGGAGTCTCCTGTGCCGGCTGCTCCTTCTGCCCATGGGGCCAAACAGCAGGTTGGTGCAGCCCAAAGCTGTAGCTGGGACAATGCAGGTGATAGCCATGGTCCTCTGCCAGGGAACCGGCTGTAGCATCCCTTGGCAGCAGGCTGTTCAGGTCCCCAGGTGAGAGCTGTGAGTGTGAGCAGGGTCTAGGAAGCAGTGTGGGGGAGAGTCGGGGATGATTGAAGGGCTGGGAGGGAAACTCACAGGAAATGACAGAGTAAATCAGTCAAGCTTGCCTATGTTATGACTAAATGGGGAGCATGATACATCTGCAAATATTAGAGATGTGTAAACAGAGAGGAGGGAGAGTGATGGTTTATGGAATGATTGAAAGGAATGAACTTTTGGATGGGAAAATGTAGGTCAAGTATGAAGGAAAACTTGTAGGCAGCGAGATAAGTGGTTTCAGTGGTAAAACAACCTCCTCGGGAAATGCGAGGAAGTCCCATTGATGGAGATGTTTAGCACAAAGCCAGATGAGGGCCTGGAAAATGGGCTGAGTTAGAGGGAGGCACTCAGTGTGTCCTGTGTGGTGCTTCCACCCGCACCCTCTCCAGATTTCTTGTAAGGCCCCCTTTAGGTATCAGAAAGCTTTAGGTACTGGGTCCTTCTGTTTCCTCCTCACTGCCCCACTCTCCCCTTGCTCCTGACACTGTCCCTGAGGAGGCTGGTGGCAAGGACATGCATTGTGGTGGGGCTTGTGGCATCTCTGGGACACAGGCTGTGTTTGTCCTCCCTGTTTCCCCATCTCCCCTCTTTCTCGGTCCTGGGGCACTCATTTTGGGCAGATGCAGAACTTGAAGCTCCCCTTCCCGGTTGTATCCTGACTCTCTGATTGCTGAGTCGGTCCCTTCTTTGAAGCTGTTCCAATTTGTCTAAGTAATTAACATCCATCGGGCCACGGAGTAAAAGCAGGAGCGCAACTGAATTTCCCACATCCCAGCTGAAAGCGCTGACCACAGGGCTATTGACTGCTCTGAAGTGCTTGCCCCATATATTGTGTCCTGGTCCCAATTAAACTTCTTGTGATGAAAGTTTCACCAAAACTAACATGCTTCCGTGAAAATTCTGGTTTTCATGATCTGGCATTTTCCAAGGAGAAAAAAAAGGAAATAAAATAACATGCCAAGAATTTCCCAACTAGCTTTAATCCTGAGACACTACCATCGTCCAAGCAAATGATGATAAGGATCTATGGAAAACATGGGGAAACAAAGAAGCGATGTTTTTAAAGCCTCCAGAAAATAAAAATGCAGCTGGAAGGAGGAGCATGGGGTTTTCTCCAAGCACGTTGAGGAGGAAAATTCATTCCCTTTGAATCACGGGGAGTCCTTTCTAGTTGGTTTCAAAGGAAGTTGTATGTGGTCATTAGCATGGCCTTGACTCTGTCACTAGTGCCTAGATATATTCATAGATGAGCTGGAAGTGCCACGGAGGGTGCTGCTCTTCCCAGAGGTGTCACGGGTTTCTTGCAGCCTGAGGAATGACAGCTCACCAGGAGCAAAGGGAGATCTCCCTCCCTGTTAAAGCAAGCGAAGACAAACAATTTCCACCCGTGCCTGATGCTCAGGGGATAAGGGGGGATGCGGGAGATACAGCCTTAACCAAAGCCATCTGGGCTGTGCCCTGCTGGTTGCAATGGGCACAGACACACATTGGGTGGAAGGGAAGAGCTGGTTGGTGCATCTTGGTCAGCTGCAGATGGAAACCACTTTCTCTGCCCTGCTCGAGTGGCTGTGGTGGTGGACCTGACAGCCTGAGAGGCAGGGGTTGTGGCACAGCCTTGCAGCTGCGGGTGAACCCCTGGGTTGCTTTTCCTTCTGGAAATGTTGCTCAGCACAGCTCCAAACAATAGAAAGGCAACTGGAGCACACACGGGCATCTGAACCACCATTTGGTCCATCTGTCAAAATGATGAGTGTCAAAATACACCTGTAAAATGAATGAGTTCCCCCCAAGGTCTGTCCATTTGAGTCAAAAGAAATGGGACAGAGAAAAATCCCAGATTTCCATGAATTGGGACTCTGCCCCAGAACCAGGTAGATAGGTAGGGAATGTGGGGAAGATGTTATTTGGTGGCAAAGAGGGATGAGCCTGAGGCTGCAGCGGCTGTGTATGCGGTATCCCAGCAGTGCCTGCCTGCTTCTGTCCAGCAGCTTTTCCAGGAGGCAGAGACCTTTGGAAATTCCCAACGAAGATCAGCTCATAGTCTGTCTTGCTGTTCCATGTCCTCTGTTCAGAGCTGATGGGGGCAAAAGTGCTTTAGAGGAGGCATAAATGGTCCCTCCCCTGCCCTGAGGGACTGGGGGGGTGTCTTGTGAAGGAGGAAGATGGTCTGAGACAGGCAATAATTGGTGCTTGAGTTTTCCCGTGTGATGGACCAAGCTCTGGGGCCACCACCTGTGGCAGAGTCACCGTGGTGTGTTGCAGTGCCTGTCTGTAGAGAACATCTACAAAAGCTTTACTTTTGTGGTGGATTTAGTTTGTTAGATGGGTGCCATGCTCTCACCACTTCAGTGGTTTATTTTGATTGCTCAGCGAGTTCAGTAAGCAGCCCTGATGTACTGACACACATTTAACCCCTTGTCTCTGCAATGCTTTGACTATCCAGCTGTCTGGGGAGGTAATGTGTCCCTCTTGGTGACTTCCCCTAGGCTGTCTACAAGGCCTGGTTGTGCTCCGAGTATTTCAACGTGACCCAACAACAGTGCCAACACCGGATCCCATGCAAGCAATACTGCCTGGAGGTGCAGACCAGGTGCCCGTTTGTGTTACCGGACAATGATGAGCTGATCTATGGAGGTTTGCCTGGCTTCATCTGTACAGGTAAGGAGATCCGGGGAGTAGGGCTGGGCTCTTGTACATCCGATGGGGCAGGGGTGGGTGCTGACGAGTCCTGTTATGCTTGCAAGCCATGCACCAGATTTTGAAGGTTTTGTGGGGCAGAGTGGGAGGAGGTACAGTGTGGAGGCACATGAGCAGTGCCTGACCGCTGAAACGTGACTGTCTGGGGCTGAGGTGTAAGTGGTTAATGGAGACACAGCAGCTGCCCAACAGCCTAGTGTGGGAAATGAAAGCCCAAACTCTTAACTGAAACCTAAAGCAAGCACGTAAGGGAATGAAGGTAGTGGGATTAAAGCAGGGCTGGGACATTAAACTGCTACAAGCAGCATCTGGGGTGAACATGCCTCAGGGCTGTGGTCTCTGCTTGCCAGTCTGTGCAGGCTTACGGCCCCATTGAGGGCCAGTCTCAGGAGTCTCTGGGTGTCCCAGTTGTCAGGTTCTGCCTGTCCTTTAGTGCATGGCTGGCAGGAACTGGGGCTGGCTCCATCCACAGCCCCATCCAGAGTCTCCCACTGACCATTTTCCTCTGCTTCCTTCCCCCAGGGCTGCTGGAGAACCAGCTGCCTGACGAGGAGGCCAAGTGCTGCGAGGTGCAATGGGATTCCTGCGACCACCCGCCAGACAGCAACGACAACACATCCCCCAAATCCACAGCATCAGAGTCACTCCATTTCCACCGCCACGACCCCCACCTCCATCACCAGCGGCAGAACCACTACCACCTCTACCACCACCACCACCACCACCAGTACCACCAGCCCCACTCCCCATCCTTGCTGCCGGTCTCCGCAGGGTCTCGCTTCAGCAGCAGCAGGATCAGACTGTGCGTGCTGGTCCTGATGCTTCTCCACACCATGGTGTCCTTCTCGAGCGTGCACAGCGGTGGCGGGGCGGCCGGCGGAGGGCTCAGCCTGGAGGCCCTGCCTGCCCTGGAGGAGAGCGTGGCGCGGGACGAGTGACATGGAGGGGAAAGCCGACCTCTAAGAAGAACGCCAGATCTTTTTCCACGAAGGGGGGCACATGCTATTCCTCCAATGGGAGGCACGGGATTGGGGGTGACGCACACACACACACCCCTGCACATACCCCCAAGAGCTGCTCGCCGCGGGGCATCCCCGTGATGAAGAGTCTCTAATGCGCACAGGGCTGCGGGACTCGGCTTTGAGAAGGGTTCGGTCAGTAGCAGCTGGCGCAGGAAGGTACGGCACAGGGGTGGGGGAGCGGAGGGGAAGGGCTCCCTTTGGATGAGGTGTCCCTGAGGAACTGCCACGCATCTCCCAGCTGCCTGCCGCGAGTGCCTTGGGCACCCGCACCTTACCCGCCAGCAAGATGCCAAGGGTTTGACAGCTCAGCCCCCGTTTCTTTTCCTCCTTGGTCTGTAAGTCCCCCCATAAGGGCCAGGCATGCAGGAGGCAGCACCTCTTGGCACAGCCTTGGCCCCCACTCCTGTCCCAGGGAAAAGCACCAACTCAAGGCACAACCTTCCTTGTGAGGTGCAGTGTCCTCAGCATGACGTTCCCCTTCCTGATGGGATTTGGGGGACAGGATTCGGATGATATTACATTACACTGTGGTACTACTTGGGGGTTTGTCTCATGTTCCCAACCTGCTCTGCCAGCTTTGCTTCTCCCACTCCTCTGTGCAAGGAGGTGGAGAGGCAGGGAGAAGGCACAGAGCAGGAGGGACGTCCCCAGCGTTCCCACATCCCACTTTGCCAAGTGCCCTGATGATTTGGTTTAACCTTTTTTGCTTTCTTTCCGGACTGGAGTGGCTGGTCTCTGAGAGGAGTTAGGGAGATGTGACTCCAGCAGTGCACAGGCTAAGTGAGAGAATGGGATTGTGCATGGTTACAGTTGGATGCAGGGCATTGGAAAGCATCCTTCCATGCTTCCCAGCCACACATCGTCAACTGGATGGCAAAAGAGCTGGAGATACTTGACGTGTAGGGGGAGTCTCCCACACAAAGAAGAGGTACTAATAAAGCCCAAATGGGGAAGAGAGGTTTTGTGAATACTGCCTATCCATGGATTCCCCCCCAGACCACAAGATTTGTAGGAGCCCAGCTGGACTTAGCTGGGTAAGGTGATGGCTGGTGCAACCTCATTTTGCTTACTTGTCTTTTTTTTAACCTGAGCTCAGTGTATCCAGGGATTCAGCCCCAAACAGAAATCAGATCCTGCTTTCTTAGGAAATTCCAAAGTTCCACTCAGCCACCAGGAGCTGTTCCCAGCATGAATATTGCAGAGGGGTTGCATGGGGAATGGTGCTGTGCCTCCAGGCCAGGCACCAGGGCAAAGTTCATTCTAGGGGTATGTGAGGGGAGAGAGGAAGGTATGTTTTAGCATGAAATGTCCTGGTTGCAATGTGGATGTGAACCTTTTCATTGCTTACAAAGGACATGTGACGGTCCCTCTGTTTTTAGGCTGCCTCTTGATGGGGAGCAGAGCTGCAGCCCTGCTGGGAGGCAGGGATGGAGCAGGAGGAATGTCCTGCTGCATCTCAAACTGATCCCAGATCCCTGTGAGTGTCCAAGAAATCACAGAGTTGAGGGCTGTTTTGTGGTTCCTGGTCTGCTGAGGTGGAGCAAAACCAAGCAGAGCCCCATGAGCAAAGCTACTTCCTGCCCGGCTGGAAGAAGGAAGTACCGGGCATACCATGGGAAGGACAGGTTTCCTGATGTTTCCAGCCCATTTGCAGACCAAAGAGGCTCTGAGAAGCAGCTGAATGTTTGATTTCTGCTTTGACTTGAATCTCAGAGCTTTGGGGTGATGTTTACACATTATCAGTTGCCTGTTACCAAAGTCCCATAGGTACAAAGCCCATGAACCCACTGTCCCTTGGTTATCAGGCTGGGAGAGGTGGTGTTCATAGGAGATGCAGTGTTTCCTGAGCTCCTTGCTGTTGCTGCCCAAAAACAACAGGATGATTCTGTAGTGTTTGACTATTCCTCACAGCATCTGTATATTTTCAGTCTAGTTTACACCAATCTGAGAATGTGGACATGCAACAGTTCAGCAAATAGGGAGGGATCTGACTCCTCGTTTTGCTCTGCTGCTAAGAAATGAGTTGTGTAGCTGCTTTGATGACTAGCAAAAGCATACAGCCAGACCGAGGGAGGGAGCACAGTCTTATTCCTGCCTAGAGACAGCCGGATCCAGTTCGCTCTTAAGGAAATTAGATTTTTCATGTACTGCCAAGAGTTAAGCTAATTCCAGGCGCCTCTCTCGGAGATAGGCTGCATCCAATCTTTGAGCGACTCATCTAGAGAGAAGAATAGCCCAGTGTGGTGCGTCAGCAAGTGGCCCTGAGTCACTGGCCCTATTCATTGTCTGCTGGTGTGACACTGAGCAGTGCCCAGCCTGCGTGCAGACGGGCAGCCTGGTGTTCTGTGGGCTCGCTCTGCTGCACTCTGTGTATGTGAGCCCAGGGCTAAGACTGTTCTGAAGGGGTCTATGCCCTCCTGCTTGCTCCAAGGCTGTTCTGCATGCTGGTGAGCAGAGCCACAGACCAGGCTGTTGGTGTCAGTCTGGGCTTGGGGAACTTCTGGTAGCGCTGAGGGTTTGTAATGGGTGATGTCCAGAGAGTGGTGGGAGTGAGGTCAAATAGCCCAGGTTATCTCCAGGAACTAGGGTTTTGCTGGAATAACCTGGGAGCTGTGATAATCGTATAGAATCACAGAATGGTTTGGGTTGGAAGGGACCTTCAAGAGCATCCTGTTTTAAGTAATGGACACATTGCGCTAAGTCCATTAGGTAAATGTCTTCACCTTGCATAACTTCAGCTGGTGAGCTTCACCTCAGGAGGCAGGGAGCCGGCGCTACATCCCACTGAATCTGAAAGCTGAGCCGTTTCTGAACTGGGGCCTGTAGTGTGACTGCTGAGGAGGTGTAGCTCTGTCACCCTCATCAGCAAGGCTCCACAGGGCAGCTCTGCCGTAGCCAGAGGAGATCCACACATTTCCCAAGCTGCGGCTTCCCTGAAGGTGTTCACGTGAGGCCAGCGTGCGGGGTCCACGGGCAGGGGGAGCACACAGGATGCGGAGCTGCGTTGGCAGGCGCAGGGCTGAGCTTTTACCTAGTGTGACTGGGAGGAAAGTGCTGAGTCTTCACAGACCGAGGCTTTTGGAAGGAGTTCTTTTATTTAGTGAGTCTGGGCTGCTGTCAATAAGTTCTGTGGTTTTAGGGCACCATATGCTGTATTCAACACTTTGCCAATCTCGTTAAATGAATCCAGACTCGGCTGTTCACAGAACAGGACAGAGCAGCTGGAAGCGGTGTATGTCACAGTCCATCATTATAAGGCCGTCGGATAAAAATCTTCTCTTTGGTCTGACATTACAACCTTAATAATCCACCATCCATATTAGCTTTCTCTTTGCTATACAAGAGAAAGGTCCAGAAAGAACATGTTAACATCATCTCAGTTAAAACTGCTGACATTGGTTTTAGTATAACAAAGAGTGAATGTGCCTCTCGTAAGGCAAGAGGGTTTCTCTACCCATGTGTGTAGGTACACTTCAACTTGAGCTCCCCCTTTGCCCAGGAGCCCTTTGCAGAGCCACGCTTCTGCAGCCACCTTGGAAAACACCAGGTCTAAATGGATTTATCCTACCAGGATTTTAAAACCAAGGTGCTTTCTCCTTTTCATTCAGTGATCTTATTTCTTCTCCCTAGGGAAGGCACTGTGCACTGGGATTAATGTGTAAAATTCAACCTCTTCTTCAGTGGGTAGACTGCTTGGAGCAGAAGCCTATTGGAGAGCAGTGATTCCTCTCTGCCATCCTTGGCAAGAAGATTTGTCTTTCCTGAGGGGCGATGCTGTCCCAACAGGATCTGGATGCAGGGACAGTGCAAGCAGGGGTGCAGGAGGAAAAGTAGTTGGGTCCTGCCTGGCTGGAGCATTAGTCCTGGGTTTTGCACTTTAATGTCACTGCCAGTTGTACAAATTAATTAAAAATAACTGAAGAAAAATTGCAAAGAAAGGGCCTGCTTCCTCTGGTGAAGATTAATCATTACTTGAGCCTTTTTCTTATGAAAATACAGATCCATGGTAGCCCCAGGCAAAAGATTCCCAGGGAGAGCCCTCACCATTCGTGCTCTGAGTTAGGGAAATCGCTTTGAAAGCATCTGACAACTAAAGCAGAACATGTTGAGTAACTTGGCAACACTCAGAAAACATCTTGAAATGGTTTTTGTTCAACACATTTTGCTTTGCTTCAATAGGAGATGTCAGGGCAGTTCATTCACTGCCACTCAGGACTGCAGGCGATGCTGGGAGACGGTTTAAAAAAAAAGCTAAAAGAAAATCCCTGATATCTGCTGCTTCTGGAACAGGATCCTCCTCAGTGGTACCATGGAGCTTCCCATGGCCGAGGGAGCTCTGTAGGTCCCATCCAGCTGGCGCAGTCTCCCTGTGCCACATTCACAGGGAGGTAGGTGATTTACAGTGCAGAGCAGGGCCTATTGAAGTCTCTGCCTGCAAAAAGTCATGCAGCAGCTTGTGATGAATTATAATAGGATACCTCCCTGCCACCCCAGAAAGGAATGCCTATAGAAGTGGGTAGAGATAAAATCAGGACAGAAACGTGCTCGGCTTCTGCGAAAATCCCTATTAAAATCTATGCAATGTGGCAGACAATTTTGTTCATAGACTTTCCAAGCTGCCCTTTGGCTTCCCATCCACAGGGGAATAAATCTCTTAAACTGCATTTGAAAGGTTAGGAAGGGCAGTGTCTAATGTTTAGGCAGGACGTTAGTAACTGTCTGATCTAGCCCAGCAAACAAAGCCAGCTCTTGAGCATCCTGGTGGGGTGACAGCGGTACCTGCATTACGAACCCTGCAATCATCCCTTCTGCTCCCAAAGAAGCCTGTTCACAGCTGCTGGATCATGGCAGCTCAGGCTGAGGGTACACATGTCCAGGCATCATTTAGTTTTATTTCAGGAGTAGAGGTTTTCAGCAGCTGATTTGGAGTGTTCTTGGTCCTTATGCCTCTTTGGGTGACTGCTCCCCATCCTGTGCCTTGCTGCACGGAGAGGGATAGGGAGAGCCTGCTCTGTTTGTCCTGAGTGTCAGTGACTCCTGAAAATCAAGTAGTTTACACCATTCCTGCAGCTCCAGGCTTCATCTCAAACAACAAAGCCAGCCCAGACCATGCTCCCCATGGCTGAGTGGAGAAGAGCATCTTCCTAAAAACAAGTTTTCCAAGACCACGACTCCCTGTATGTGGCAGAGGCCACAGGCGTCAGCTCCACCAGGGCAGGTTCCAAAGGAACCTTCAGTTCTGCCCAACTGGGATGAAGGGAGGAAAGAAGATGCTGTGGCCATATACGAAGAATAAATCATTTTCAAATCAGGATCATAGAAAAGAAAATAATAAATAATTCCCTTTAAAAGTTATTGGGGTTTTATCAAAGCTCTCGGCCTCTGCTCACAGGATGGGGTGTTCATGGGCAGGAGATGGGCTGCACCCATGAACACCATTCCTCCAGCTTCCTTTCCTACACTGCAGGTCTAGTACTTTTGCTGGAAACAAGGTCAGGTGTGGTTTCCAGGCTTGTTAGTGTTTTATGATGCTCCGTTTTCAGCCCAGAAAGTCAACAGCTTTGCTGTTTGTAAACTGAAATTCAAAAGAAGGAAAGAATAGGTTTGGCTTATGAAATTTGGGGTTGGTTTTGCCATTTTTAAATGTATTTGGGAACTGTACGTGCTTGAGTTGCAAAACAAAAAGATATTTCAAGCCGGACAGTTGTTGGTTTGGTTGTTTTTTTTTTCATTCTGGAACTTGTCAAAACAAGCTATATTGATAATTATGACTTTTTTTTTTTTTTTCAAATTGAGAAATGTACCAAGAACAGCCCTTTCCCACAAAACCTTTCATTTTCAAAAAAAAAGTGAAAAATAAAAAATCAATCACACTTTTTCTGCCCACACAGTTGGAACTGGTGGCAGTGGATTCAGAGAGAATAGCAATTTGTAAAGAATTCCAACCAGTTTGACTTAAAATAGCATCCAGCCTATTTCTTGGGGGCAGTAGGCTGAGTGGTTCCATGGAAAAAGCGGGCTGGAGAACTGCTGTTCTTACCAGGGTGGTTTCAGTCCAGGATTACACCTTGGGAGCTGCATGGGCACATTCCTCCCAGGGAACTATTGCTGAGATGCTGCATCCTCTCTTCTCTAGGAGCTCAGCCAGTGGTAGGAGCCCCCAGCCATCCCTCTAACCAACCTCTGTTTTCTTTCCCAAACCCAAACGAATGCAGAGTGAATCTTCTAGCCTCCGATACGGTCGGACATCACGGTTCTGGGATGCCTTCAAACCTGGTGATGCTCCCGTATGCTCATGGGAGTTTAAATGTGGAAGAAACTCAACGGGCCGGGATGGCGCGAAGCAGGAAAAGCCGCGGTTCAACAGGAACCGGTGTGAGGGAAAGTTCTGAAGAACCCCCAAGGAAAGTGTCCTTGCCCTCTTGCCCTTCTCCACTCCGAGCGCGGGAGATGCTGCTCCTGGCAGCCGTGGCGAGGTCTCTCTGCCCCTCTGCCACGGGGGGACCTCGGTGGGGACCAGAGCCCACCCCCCGCCGGGGCAGCTTTGCCTGTAGGGGACCAGGCTGCTCGTGACCGAACCCTTCTCAAGTGCTTGTGACATGTCGGTGGTTACAGAGCTCAGACCTACAAAACAAAAGGTCCTTTTACAGAACGTGGTGGCGAGGTGAAAACAAAACAGAAAACAAACCATACTGCTGAAGTCAAAATATTCTTTCTAATCCCCCTGCCCGGTTTCTCTTTCTTTCCAGCTTTCTTCCTCTGCCTCCTGAATCCTCCCTCTCTGTTCCCACCCCCCTTCTGTTTCTCTTTCTCCCCTCTGTCATAAGAAAGTGACTGTGTCCTCGAGGGGACAGTTTTCTTATGCCATTTTATACACTGTGCTTCATGTTTAGAACTTTTTTGCACTAGTTCCTATTACATTTCTTTTCCAAAATGGTTTGACAAAAAAAAAAAAACCCAAACAAAAACACAGAAACCATGCTATAATTCAGTTGTATTAAAAATATTATCCTACTACTCTCTGTGTTCAATAGTCTCTGTACCTGTAATGCTTTCAGTTCTGTTGTATTTTGGGGCAGAGGTTTTCTCCGCTCCTTGTTTAACCCAGTAAAGAAATAAAATGTTAAGAATTGATGATAACTTCCTCCTCCCTTTCTCTGTGGTTTAACTGGGGCCGTGCAGGTCCCAGTGTGGTGCTCGCTGGCTGGGGTGATGTGGTGGCTTGGCTCGGGTGCCGGCTCCCCACCAGAACCTGCCCTTCAAACCCGCTCTGTCTGTCTGTCCTACGGGTGCTTTTTGCCTGCAAAATCCAATCTCAAATGGAGGACAGAAGAGGCAGAATGGAGGGACAATAACCCTGCCTTACTGAATCTGATTTCGTAACCTTTCTTTATATTCTTTTGTTTCTTGCCTTCACATTTCTTGCCATGGGGCTCACCTCAGAACAATAGGGGCAAAGACTGTCACCAAGAGATTCATCAGAGAATAATGACTAAACCAGGGTATCCAAATTTTGCCCAGCTGAAGTCCACACCCACATATAATCTGGAATTAATTCATCTGGACAACAGATCTCGGCATGCAACAGAGCTAGGACACTCCGCTCCAAATTGAATGCTGCATGCCAGGCTGCAAAAGGCCATGTAATAAAACTCCAAAGTTACACTTTGGCCATTCCTGCCCCGAGCTGAAAACTCGCAGTTTGTAAAGAAGACGAAAAGAAAGCACAGAAAAGGGATGAAATTGGACAGCGATAGAAGTCATTTTTATAAAGAGCAGATTGGTGCAGAGGGTAAATGTGAGGGGAGGCACCGGCTCTGCTGTAAAACCAGGAGAGTGGTGGGTGCAGGGGGGGAGAGCACGGCTGGGGAGTGGGTGCCTGGTGTGTAACTGCATGAGGGACTGGGTAAGGAGATGATGAGTGGGATGTATCACCTTGAGAACTAAAGAAGTGTCTCCTGGCCTCCCATGAGGATCTTTGTTCACCTCTGCACAGAGAGGATCAAATCGTCTCCGCAGGAGACAAGTTTCTTTTGTGGCTCAGACAGGGAGAATATATATATATATATGTACAGGAGCGCTGTTGATGCAAATCAATGACAGTGGGGTTCTTTGTTCTAAAATCCATTTGTCCTGGTGTTTTCCAACCCAGTGTTTTGATTTTCAGGGAGTACCATGTTCTGGTACTGCCAAAGGGTAAAAATAAGGCAAAGCCAAGATGGTTTCCAGGACAAAATGTGAACATGAACTCTAATGTAGAAGCATGATGGCCAGCTAACAGAAAGGAGGGGATGGTTATCTGCATAGAGGGGATGATGCTTAGCCCCACAGACAAACAGAAAGGCACACAGCAGAGGCTATCTCTAGAATAGCACTCAGGTGCCTCAGGTTAGCACATTGCTGCAGGCAATTAAATCCAACTCAGCCATTTCCAAAGGTCTGCACCACCCCATCCCACTTGCTTTAAATGTATTTTCAACCGTGGTTCCTTATGGGTGTGTTCTGAACTGCCCAAATTTGAGCAGATCGGGGCCTCAGCTGTGTTCTAGAAACTACCCATTAGAGTTCTGCAAGAGTCTTGAGCTGTTAAATACTCTCAGAATACAGCACCAAGCTTCTCAAGGAACGTGTTTGTGTTTGCTTTGTCCTTTGGGAGCACTGCTGGCAGGACAGGTCCCAGCAAGCCCTGTGCCATTGTTCATTCCTATCAGTTTCCTGCTGCAGCGATGAGACAGCACTTGCTGGCATCTCTGCCACACTGGATATGTGGTAGCTGCTTAATATGAAGCCTTCCAAAATGGAACTACTGTTGGAGATTAAAAGTTTGAGTCCCTGGCTTGGTACAGGTAACACAGCCAAAGGGTGAGAGTTTAAGATGCTTGCTGAGCCCACAGGAAATAACGCTGTGGTGTGGCTGGGATCAGGTGTGGGACGTGCTGTGGCAGAGGTGAAAGCAGGGCAAGCATAGAGCAATGCTGCTCCTGAAATATCCATACATCAGCATGCATTTTATGGGATTTCTGAGTCAATTGCAAGGGATTTGCTGGTATCTCTTTATGTCACAGCTCTGGGTTGATGTTTAACTGTTGAATTGGTACAGCTGCATTTTCAGACCCTGGTGTCCCCTGTCCTCTGGCAGTGACTGCTGGAGTGCCGTGCTGCATGCTTGAGATGCCATTTGTTCTTGAAAATTCCTTTTGGTGCCCCTGTGTCTTGTCACCAGAGACACACATCCCTCGCCCATGCTCTTCAGGTTTTCAGGCCTCTCATGATTTCACAGTCCCCAAGCATCCCTGTCCTCGGTCACTGCCTTTCCAAGAAGAGAGGTACCATAAGCATGAGCCATCTCCCCGCCTCCCAGATGCCCTGAAAAGGGTGTGCGTTGGGGCTTGGCTACCATATAAAAGCCCTCAAGATTAATGGTGCTGAAGAAGGGAGCAAGAATGCTCACAACTGCCCAGCCTGGGGAGCTCACAATGAGCGTCTGGTAAAGCACAGGGAAGGGTCTCAGTGGCCACAAGGCGCCTGAACTGGTGCAGCAGCTGAAAATCCACCCAGGAACATGCCAGTTCCCAGGGATTTCATTAGCAGGGGTTTGAAGTTGATGCAAGTTAAGCAGATATACATTTTTATGGCTATAGGCCTGCAGACATCAAAGATGGAATGAGAGAGAAATTTCTCAGCTGTAAATTTGCCTTTTGGCTCCATAAAAGCTGAAATGAGCAATGTAAAAAATATTACTGCTAGAAAGAGCATGGAAAATGCTGCACCCCTGAGAAAACAACACAAAGAGCTGCAGACCTAAATGAAACTCCAGGCTTGGAAATGCTTTGAGGTACAAAACGGGACTCCCCAGGCACTGAAATCATGTGTGGGGTTGGGATTTCTAACACCATCTCTTCTGGATGCGAGCTAGGAATTCCCTTTGTTCCTATGTTTATTTATATAGCTTAAAAGATGGCATACAAGGTTCGGCATTCTGGTTTATCAAACAAGGAAAAGGTATCATTTTTCAAGCACGTGCATCTAGAAAGCACGCTGTGTGATTGTATTTCTGAGCAATTTCAGAGCTCCAGGAGTTTCTCAGTCTTCCCTGGGCAGAGGAGTACTTGGGACTTACAAAAATTAGGCAACTTTTTTACCATAAATCTAAAAATGTGCTTGAGGGCCTTGTTTTTCACAGCAGCATTTGAACATGGAAGACTGAAGAGAGCCTGTGTTTTATTGTCCTTTCAACTCTTCATCATAAGGATGCAGTTTCAGGCAGTACATGAAGCTCAAGGATGTTTCTAGGCCTTTCAAAGTCCATATGTTCTGGATACATTCAAACTGAAATGCCCTGATGTTGGTGAGGAGTTCTTAATTTATTTGTATGTGATCAAACAAGTATTATTTTGTTGGATTTTGTGACTGGGAAGTTACTGTGATGCCACCTCAGAAAACTGATGAGAATCTTGTAGTTCAGAGTTGAAGAAACTGTGAATGATCATAATTTTCCCCATTTTTTTTTTGCCTGGAGGACTTTTTTGATCTCTTTTTTTTTTTGTCTAAGATTTGCATTAAGTAGGATCTTACAGTTGATTTTTCATCAGCAGCCCCCTTGGCATAGCAGAGCAGGAGTTGCCTGGATGGGCTGTTGGAGGTGGGTTTATATGAGTTTATACATTGAAGGCTGTGATCCAGCTGGGTTTTACTGTGTGACTTCTTTTTCTCTTTTTCCTGGTCTCTCCACTTTGGATCATGGCCTTGGCACTGCACAAGGGTCTGTGTAATTCTGTTAGGTCTGGTTTAGTAACTTAATTGTACTGAAGTCAAACCCCTTGACAGGAAAGGGCTGGGAAGGGGTTTTTCTGCCTTCACGTGAAAGCAGTGGAAGTTCTTTTTATTTCTTTCACCTATATCTATACAAATATACAGCGATAAATATACAAATATACAGAGATTATATTTCAAGGCAGAGGCTCAGGCACAGAAGGAGAAGGTGTGCTGGTGCCGTGTGGGACTTGGGTAATCATCCGCTCTCATGAGCTTGCCCTGAGCTCATCTGGAAGCCCTGTTAAAACCACATCAGGTGAACCCATAGGACCCAGTATTCTGAAAAGAGTTTCAAAAGCCTAAGAGTGAAGCCCTGGGAGTGGGTGGCCTTGGCTGCTGTGTTCCCCTTCTACAGAAGGGCAGATGTCCTGCTGCAGAGAAAAGGTGGTGGTGGTCAGCAGGAATGTGCAGGTCCCATCCTCGGGGACTTCTCTTTCAATAGTGGCAGGGGAGACTTGGTGAGGTTAGGCTGGATGTTGTGGGCTGAGACTGGGAAGGACTGGACACAATGCTCCTGTTGCCCTAATGAGAAAATAGCTCTGGAGTGTGGGATGTGCTTAGCATTATATCCAGTCCAAGTGTATTATCCAAAAAGAAGCCTGCTGTTGTTTATTCCCTGTCAAGCTCCCTGCTTTCCTTGGGCCACAAGGAGTCTTTCTCCTTGCAGCCATGTTCCAGTCATGACGTCTCAGATCAGTGTCCTGTTTCTGTCCTCCTCCACAAACATCTCACCCGTTACAAAATCAGTTGTACAGCCAGAAAAGTTGCTTCTGGTGTGAGTAATTGAGAGTCTTCTGCTGGTGCAGGTGAGGGTCTGCAGGAGATTCTGGAGGTGAACTGGTGTTGTGTTAGGGGAGCAACACGGACATGGCACGTCCAGAACACCAAGTTTGTTCATCTCATGCTCTCCAGCACTGATCCATCCCTTGCACTGCCTTTTGGCCAACTTCCTGTAAGGAAAAGGGTGAAGGATCTGTTTTTCCTTTGAAGAGAGAAGTGTTAAGTGCAAGCAAAGATCACAGACCTGATATATCCAGGGGATGTCAAGTTACATCAAACTTCCTCTTCTTAATGAGGAAACATCAAAACAAGCGCCCTGAACCAAGTCACAGAAACTGCTGCAATGCAATGCCGCATTAGGGAGAGGTTATCTTTGTATTACCTGTGCCACATCACATCATTTACACCCTGATTTCCTTTTCTCTGCCTGTCCTGTTCACATTGTTAACACAAAATTAGCCACATGGATGTGATAATTAGGGTTATATCCTCTGTCTCTTTTGGGCTTCCTAGCTACCCTTCACACTTGATCTGTCATGTTTTCC